AAACACATCTGTCTGAGTCGTTTAATGTGAACTTGACCTTGCTTGTAAAACTTTCAGGCAACGAGGCACAAGTCATCACGACATTTCGTAAATCGCCAACACCAAGGACCAAAATATTTATAGTTGAACTGTAGTCGATGCCTTCGTTTTCTGACAAATTTAGGTAATCATACGCGGGTGCATTGCCCCAGTAATAATGTGCAACGCAAATTCGAGAAAAATTTGGTGGGAAATAATGGGAAAGTGACCGGGCCAGTGTTTTTATCTTTGATACAATACGTTTGCACTCTACCTTGTGGTCATGTCGATGATTCTTCTGACATGTCGGGTCGCAGTAGAAAGCACGGTAACATCCAGTGCATTTTTGTAGCAAAGAACCGGTCTTACGACATGATGAACATGTATCTACAATAGATACTGGGCGACATTCAGCGTCATTGTGCCTTGCGATGTCGTTTTCTTTGCATTTATTGCTGCAGTACTTGGCGACACCACAAGAACGGCAAATTACAGTTGCGGAAGGTTTGCCACAACGCCAGCATTCAGAAAATCTTGGCATTTCATTTGCTATTATCCCTATACTGTTTGTCGCTTGATAAGCACAAATTTGATAAATGATAATAAAATATTATAATACAAATGGTTCCGGTTTACCTCGTTCCATGAAGTCGTCATTACAGGAAATACCAACAGAAAATGCATCCAATCTTGCGCAATGCATGATATTGAGTTTCACGAGCGAAAATATAATATCTTTTTGTTTGCTTTAATCATCCTCAAAGTATAAACTGTCAGAAAATTCAATGAAATCACCCATGTGCAACAGTGCATTCGAATATTATTGGCACAATTTCCATATTAACAACCGGAAGTAAAATACAATCCTAAACCGATTCTTAATTCATATCTTATCCTTAATCCGAAACCCTTAATATTTTTGACTTATAATTTTACTCCGAACCCTAAAACCCAAACTGAAATGCTTATCCTAACCCTAAACGCCGTTGCTGACTTGACTTATGTGAAGGTGATATACTTGATGTAATACACAATAAAAATATGCAACATAAGTACTATTTAAAACACGATAACGAGTGCTTAGAATAGCTTTAAAATACGGCTACAAAAGAATACTAATTAGGATGAACAATTATGTAATAATATACTAATTAGGATGAACAGTTATATAAAGATTACTGATGAAGATGAGTTTTCAGATATAAAGTTACTCCACGTGACATATTATGTCTGCCGTGATTTGCAACGGGGTTTATGAATTATTAATGAGTATTTTAACTTAAGGTGGTTCAATATAGTTATCACAAAAACCCTGCTCAAGAATCGCGAACAAAACGGGTGACCATTTTTACGCGCAGAGGCGGAAAGTGATTAACAAAATGAAAAAACTTCCAAAATGACCTGAAGTGAGCAGTTACTCACGACAACTCACGTCATTGCGCGTATTCTATAACGTTTTTTTCAATTGTTGACGTCATTAGAATTTTCCATTTTAGAAAAACAATGCGCTATATCTTTCTATTTTGTCTCGTGACCTATGTTGAAATTTTGCATGCTATATTGCATCGCTAAAAACTTTCAATGTACAAAAAATAAAAAATTCTGTGATGCCAAAAACGTTTACCCAAGAGTACGACATTTTCGCATTTTCCAAAAAAATGGCATTAAAGAATTTTTTAATATTTTGCAAGTTGTTAGTTTTTCTCCCAAGTAAAATAATACACGAAAAAAAATTGGGGGTCACCATGCTTCTTTTCCAACTATACGAGACAATAGGCCATTTTGGAGTGAATTTCGTATATATATGTCGGCATAGCAACGAACTATCTGTTACTAAAACTAATAGTATAATTTGAAAGTAGAGATATAAAACCCCCAATATCTGCTGAATAAATCCTAAAAATGCGTAGTTTGAAATGTCAAAGTCTTGAACACCTGAATTTTTGAAAAGTGTATCTAGCCGCCTTAATAAAGAACACGAACATAGCATAAACCACGAATTGGGAAGGCGTGATTTTTAAAAATACAACCTTTCCTATAACACTCGAACAAGTTAATGTACAACAGTCAGGCTACGATATTGCGTTTTACAGCTGAAGGTGGGAGAAGAAGGTGCATTAATTATTAGCCTTTTGCTAGCTCCTTTGTGTACAGATTGTATTATGCTGTAACTACAGTGTGTAAAAATGTATGGCATTGCCTGTTGACCCCCAGGGGGTCTATCAAGGTCTGGCTAGTTGATGCTGATTGGCCACGACAGATCTAGATCTTGAAGAATTCTAATCGCTTGCACTTCAATATCATCGAGCATTGGACATTGGTTTTCAAAATCGAACTAATATTTTCTTTACACTTGATTTTACTTCTCTCTACGCCTCAAACTATTGAATTTTCGATGCAAAAATGTCTCAGATGCATAGCAGATTATTATGATATCCCGTTGAACAAAAGAAATTATACGCGGGTTGAAAATAACGGCAGTTCCTGCGCGTGATATGATTTGTTTACGTCATCAACGTCAGAAATTTGTTGACCTTTGAACCCAACCAATCAGAATCAAGTAACTCAGATCTGGGTAGCGCAGCTAGTGGGGAAATACTGCAATACAGCATATATCTAATACAGCATTTACCTACCGATATTTTCAAGTTACATGACGTAGCACGGAGAGCTGGCGGAGCGAGAAAGAGAGACTTGTCAACTTCGGAAAATCTCGGTTCAAAACTGAACCGAAAATGCAAGACTTGCTTTAATTGTTTTCCTTCAATTTC